CAACCAGTGGAGGGCTCTTGTGAACAGTGATGAACCTTCGGGTTCCATAAAATGCTGGGAAATTCTTGAGTAGCTGCAGAATTGGCAGCTCCTCCAGAAGGGCTCAGCTCCATGAGTAAGTAAGTAAGTAAGATGATATTATTACACTGTTTCAGTGTTTGTTTTACTGCCCTTTGGTATTGTTGGGCTGGATTTTTATCAATTTTTATAAATTGGTTATTGTGTATGAAGTTATTTATTTTCTGTTTATAATTCTTCTTGTGTTAGTATTACGAGTGTATTTGCTTTATCTGCTTTCATTATAATGAGTTTATTCTCTTTAATTTTATTTTTTATAGTCATTATTTGTTTCCATTCTCTCTTATCTTTGTTATCTTTCCTATTTTTATTCCTTTCATTATTATTCTTGTGTATATCTTTTAATTTCTTTGCAATTAGATGTCTATAATAATTTTGTTCTGCTATTTCTAGGTTATTTATTGCTGTTTCTGCTTCTGGGGCTAATATCTCAATCCATTCACGACGGCATTTGTATTATGACATATAGATATATACATATATTTGATGGAATGTATTTGTATGTATGTTGCCATTTACTAGGTTTTTATTACTAGACTACTATTATGTTCATACTACAATAACTTAATTGTTTTAGTTATAATAAGTAATGTTCATGTTGATGCTTACTTTATTATGTACTTTCTGATGTGTATGACTATATGAACATTGTAGTGCTTTATTTGTGACTATCTCCACATCCTATGAAATTGTTTTCTGTATGGATTTATGGAAAATGAACAAATAAATGAATGAATGATTGTTGCATTATTGACAGACTTGATACACAGACGTTTAACCAAGACGGAAATCAGACAACGATCAGAAATATGAGTACTTCTTTTAGGCACAGGTTATAAAGAATGCATTGTTTTTACAGAAATTTGACGCCATAACAAAGAATGTCACTGAATAGTTACTTCGCCAAACACATCACTATTTACTAGTGTTAAACATGAAATTCAACGGATTTACATATACTGACAAAGACTCGAGAATACCTATAAAGCTTCACTCAGCACATGCCTGGAGCGTGATGGTTACGACAAATCAATGTCAAATCATTTGTTATGCCAATTTCAAAGTTCATATTTTTCTGACAACTGATGATGTAATCTGAACAGAAAAACATCTGCTTTTGCCATCAGCTGCAGCCATAATCTACATGACTGAATCACAACTACAAACTGCAAATTTAAAAATGATTCATGCATGAATATAAAACAAATTTAGAATAATGTCCCCCCGACAAAAATGACAACCACAATTCAAATTTTATGTATCACAGAGACTTGGCACCCAAGATTAATCACCCCTTGCATAGGCATTTCGAAAGAAAAAGAAAACATTACTAAACCAACCCATTTATCACATGCATATGAAATTAAGACCACTATGGCAACATATGGTGTCGGAAAACAGCAGACAGATATATGAAGTGCGTCAGTAATCTGTCTTTCACAATGTAACAATACACATCTGAAATTACACTACCCACACATTAGAACTTCTTCTTCATTACATATAGAAATAGTGACAAGATGAGAGAGGAACAGAAGCATTTACTAGACAAATTATGTTCAATGACTGGATGCCAAGAGAGCAGTTAGGCATGGTGAAGTGAATTCACTCCTGTCGATGTCATTTTCGTGTTTATATAATCTCACTGTTTCATTGTATGGTCATAATCACATCATATCTGGGCCACGAGGTTCATTCCATGTGATCAGGTCCAGATCACAAATGTCATTTAGCAGACTATGCAACTGCCATCAGGAAAAGACCATTCATTCTTGAACACACGCATGCACACACCCACCCACCCAAATCAGCTATGAATCCTTCACCAGTTCAATGCTGAAACTATTTTCCTTGCCTATTTCACTGCGTTCAGTGAACAAGATAATGAAAAGGTCTTTATATCTGAAATTTTCATTCACAGATTTCTCAAGATGAATTATTTCCGTGTCATGCTTGTTTTTGTCATTCTTCACTATAACAGCATTTAATATGTTTTATTGCTCCAGTTAGCTAGATCTGTAGCCTGTGAATGATACACATCTGGTTTCATAAAAGTCCAGTCACTGTATTTAAACAAAAACTTACAATTTAAAAGCCATACAAATATTTTACTGTTGCTGAACTGTGTAATTTTGTTGGTAGCTTTGACCAGCTGCACCAACCTCAAGTGACTGGGCACTATCAATGCTGTAGCCTGTGATGCTGTCAGGACTTTGTAATGATGCAGCATACAGAGGATTCACTGGAGTTGCACCGTTATCAAACTGGGTACTATCATATACACTGTTATTCTGAAAGCAATTCAGTACGGTACATAATACATTACAGATCACTGATGAGGTTTGAGGGCACATATCAAAGGCACAAAATATACAGAACAAATTAAGTCATACATTTAAAAATTCATTTTGAACAAATGAGCAGTCCTATAGAAGTTGTACTCTATCAGTCGAAACAGTCCCTAGTTTATTATGATTAAGAGACATTCAGTGTGAGATATGTACATAATTCTGACAGCATTCGAAAACTCAGACCAAAGTTTTTGTTCAGGTGATGCAATGACTTCACAAATACAATATTTCAGATCAAGCTCAGCTGGTACACATGGGACATACACCTGATCTTTAATTTACACTGTTCATTCCACCAAATATTCCACAATCATTAATTATCCTATCATCCAATGTNATATATTACCGCAGGAGACGCAGCCGCGGAATTTAAATTACCGCGTTAAATGGTTAACTGAAGAACAGAATTCCACAGGAGTTACAATAGACCACTGTAGGTTGCGGTGCAAGGGCCGCAAAGGCCCACCCCTTAGAAATTCATTCATACACTCATACATCCAAAAATTATGGCAAAAGGGCTTTCATGACCAACTGATCTTCTACATAATGTTTTTACCCTGCAAGGTACACCCAGAATGACATCTTCTTAAACTAAACTGTTTGTGGGCTTAGAAAACAAAAATACTTTGACCTGCCATTTCATCTGACAATAACAAAACTTTTGTATATATATCATTTGTTCAAAACAAAGTTTTAAAATTGTACACTTCATTTTTAACAACCCTATACAGTGGAACCTCTTCAGAACTTTTCTAGAGGCACAAGCAATTCAAACTTCTCAAGACTTAAAATGTTTTAGAGAGGTTCAAAAAAGCATGCCAAAGTTATCCTATCTCCAGACAAAAATATCCATAATACATATTAACAGTCAAATTCGTTAAAAATATTATACATAATTAACCATGGTAGCCATCCACTTTCTGATTATATCCAATTTTCCCCTTTTGTTAACAGTATGCATATCACTCCTGTCATCGAGGCTTCCATGTTGCTCACTGTTTATACTAAGTAATAAATAAAACCACTTGTTTGTTTGGCTCACTGATACACTGATAAATTTCAGAACAATGGTAACATTCCACAAAAAACAAGCGATCTGCAGACATGCAAACTCCCATAACACATACAAAATATGAAAATCTGAACTGATCAAAATGGACTAATACGACATTCACCAGACATATTAAATGGTTAAAACATTAGTTTAATAATATTAAAATGGTCTTTCTGTGGGAAATCACTGTACACATGAAATATATTAAGGAGGCTAAAAAAACATAAAAATTAGAGGGAAGTCTTTGGGATAAAATAATTTGAATTTCTTTAGTGGGAAAAATTCTTAAATGGATGTCTCTTCCACTATACATCACAGAATTACTAACATAAGAATTCTTTAAATAGGTTACATAAGAGAGTATTAAGCAGATCTAAGAATTTTACAAGTTGTTTTGTATGTTTGTGCAATCTGTGTTTTATTCTGAGGGATAATTATCAGTGTATCTGGAAATGTCTGATGGTACTATCCAGCACTTGACTAGAAAGACTGAAGTAACCCAAGAAAAATCTGAAAGGGTAGCCAGTAATTTTGCTGAGATCTGAACTGGGTACCTCCTGAGTGTAAGGACAAAATGTTGCTGCTACAAGCACCTGCATATATGACTCAATGATGTGTGCACACACGCACGCACACACACGCACACAGAATTATGTGTCACTGTGTAGGAATACAGAGTGGCAAGACCTGGAATTTCTGTAATAAGAAAACCTCAGCATCTAATCACTCAAATGGCTGAATGATTGTTTCTTGGGTTATTTAATGATGCTTTTCCATCTCCACAGTTACAGTGTCAAATGAATGTGACCTGTAAATTATGAATTAGAAAGGGTGTGTAGGGAGCAGTTGTGACTTATTTTAAGGCTACTAGCCCTGCAACGTTTCTGAAGGCTGGGCATGAATCAATAAAAAGTTCTGGATAACTCTGAATTCACCTTATGACACCTTTTAGATACTGTCTTTTAGAGGAGTCAGAACAGATCAGTCTGTATAGTGACAGGTTAGGGGCTGGATGACCTGGGTTCCATTCCTGGCATGGAAAGACTTTTTTCTCCACGGTGTCCAGACCGGCTCTGGGGGCCATCAAGCCTCCTATCCAATGTGTATTAGAGGTGATTTCCCAGAGGGTGTAAAGCAGCTGGAGCATGAAGCTGACCACTCACCTCCATCTAGTGCTGAGGTTAAGAACTGTGGAGATATATCTCCACTCCCCCATGTGTCTTCATGGGACAGGGACAACTTTACCTTTACCTTCTATCTTTTAAGACTGAGGTTACAGTGATACATTGACAAAATTAATAACTAGAGTTATATCTGGGGTGCTGGAAAGTAAACAGAAGCCGCTCGTGGCTTGAGGCTGGGCACAACCAAGCCTCCAGCAGCACAGTACCTATGCCTGTCTGAGGAATTATTCAGGGGTGGAGGAAAGCCACAGAAGAATTACCAGAATAGTTCATCTCCATGTCAATATTTGATTTTGGGGCAGGTTGAAATGATGCAGAAGTGCTACTACCATACCACAGTACTTAGCCACCAGTTAATGGATATTATTTTCATGTAAATAGTGGTTCTGTAACATTTTATATCAGTAACTTCATTAATTTTTTATTGCCATTGCATAGCTTATTTGTAAGACATTAAAATTTTTCTGTAGGAGGCATATTTTACAATTATTCAACTGACTGTTTCTTCTGAGAAGGAAACAAAACTTGTTAGACATCACAGTGCATTCCCTGTATCCAAACTTAGTCAAAATGACTGTAGGCTGTAGAATATGTCATACAAACACAAAAACATACGTACAGTACAACTCACGTTTTCACACAAGAAAACCCAAGAATGCACAGTGGTTACACATGAGGCTATTCAAAAATACATCAACATATATACATCAATACTGTTAACTTATGCTATTTACACAACCTTTAAATGGATGTCATTTTTTAGGCATTAAGTATTCATCAACAAAGCATAATAAGTGTGTATTTTAAGTACTGTTTTAGTGCTATTTTAAATTGTGCTTTTTCATTTGGGAGACTTTTGAGATCAGATGGCAGATTATTGGAAATTTTGATCCCAGCATAATATGCAAATTTCTGGAAGCATGAGAGGTTAGCAGTTGGTTTATGGTGATGGTGCTTGTGTCTTGCGTTAACAATGTGTACATCTGCATTGATCTGAAAATGTTCTGTTATTTTCAATGAAGTTTATTAATGAAAACATATATTCACATGGAAGAGTTAAGATCTCTAGTATCTTAAATTGATCTCTTATGGGATTTGACAGCCATCAGGAGTCTCTCAGTTTTCTTTTATACCCTCCTGCTGTCAGATAATTATTATTTCATACTTCACTTAAGAGTGAAAGTGAGCAAAATAAACTGAGTTGAGTGTAAATATTGCTGATATGCAATATGCCCCACTTAACTTTGCAACCAACTGATTGATATGGTTTTTCCAGTTTAAATGATTATCAATTTCTAAGCTATGAAATTTTGTGTTTACTGCCTCTACTAATATTTATCATTATACCCAATATTTAATGGATATTGTGGCGAGTTTTTTGTTATAAATTTTATTACATTTGTTTTATCTAGATTCAGGGACAGCTTGTTTGCAGAAAAGCATTTACTCATTTGAGAGAGAACTTTGTTTGATAGTATGCAAAAATTATTTAAATTTTTCCTAGAAATTATGATACCAATGTCATCAGGAAATATTACGGGTATTGGATGAGGTGCTTAGTGTAGGAAGGAGGTCATTTATATAGATTAGGAAATGCATAGGCCCTAAACTTGACCCCTGGGGAATACCACGCTTTATTGTTAACCAGTTTGAGTACGTACTTCTGGTTAAACATGAAGATTTTATTTAAATCTTTTGTTTTACGTTAGGTAGGATCTGAACCAACTTGCTGCTGCTCCTTAAATGCCCCCCCCCAATCTAATTCAGTTAATAAAATTTTGTGATTTACATAGTCAAAAGCGTTCGCCAAATCACAGAATATTCCACCAACATGCATTTTTTGATTAACAGATTTTATACACAGTCCATTAGCTTCAAGGCTGCATTTTCAGTAGATCATGTTGATCATTTCTTATTCTTACTCATATAGGTAAAGTTGATGTGAAGTTGTCCATGTGCTTAATTAAGCACCATGCCATCATGACACACAGAGGTATAGCTCCACGCATTCTTAACCTTGGCACTAGATGGATGTATGCAGTCAGCTTCATGCTCCAGTCACTTTATCCCAGGGAAAGAACCCCTGGTACACACTGGAAAAAAGGCTAAGTGAATCACAGAACCAGTCTGAATAACATGGAGAAGGGAACATCTCTTGCTCCTGCCACAAATCAAAACCCAATTCCCTGACTGTCGAGCCTACAGCCTAACTGCTACACCAACTGAGCTATCCTGGGTCCTATTCCTTCTCATCTAATGAAAATAAATATTAATGCTTGCAAGTCAGGCTAGGCAGTCAGTTTCACAAAGATGAAGCTTCACAGGAGGAGTATCAAATGAATGTAGTACACATTGTAACAAATTCACTTCTGCAGATGCGCACACATGTGATGCTGTGAAACTGGCCTGTATCACCAAGGGTGTACACATGCATAAAAATTATATTAACTCAGCTTGTTGTTTCAACAAGTTGCAATGTTTTCTTAGTTCTATCACTGCATCCTACAATACCTACACAGATAATACCAACTATCTGGTGCATAAATTTCTAACCAGTATCAATAAAAAATATTGTTAGACTTCTGCTGGTGATAGTGTCTAGGAAAATGATTCACAATGCTGCTGGATAAAAAAAACTGAAATGCCACTTTCAGCATGCAACCATTGTTGTTAATAATAAATAATGTGACATGTTGCGCAAC